TTCTTTTTGGTATAATCACTCTGTATACTCTTTCCATCTTCTTTTAATACTTGCAGGATCATTTAATGTTCTGCCCAAAGCATCCTTAAGTACTGCAACTCAAGGCTTGAATTTCCTCTTCAGTTTCTAGAGCTTAAGAAATGCTCAGTGAGTTTGGCCTCTTTGTTTTTCTGACTCCAGCTCTTCACACATTTTATTATAATACTTTACTCTGTCTTGTCATGCAGCCTTTTGAAATCTCCTGTTCAGCTCTTTAATGTTTTGAATTCTTCTTTCTGTTTTGGCTTCTCGGTGCTCCAGTGCAATATTCAGTGTCTCTTCTGACATCCATTTTGGTCTTTTCTTCCTCCTCTGTCTTTGCAATGACCTTTTGCACTCTTCTTGGATGATATTCTTGATGTCTTCCCATAACTCATCTGGTCTTTGCTCATTAGTGTTCAAGGCCTCAAACCTGTTCCTGAGATGGTTCTGAAATTCAGGTGGGATAGACTTAAGGTCTTATTTTGGCCCTTGTGGGCTTGATTTCACTTTCCTTAGCTTCAGCTTAAATTTGCATATGAGCAGTTGGTGATCTGTTTCACAATCAGCACCAGGCCTAGTTTTCACAGCTGATAATGAGCTTCTCCAGCGGTTCTTTCCACAGATATAATCTATCTGATTCCTATGCATACCACCACGTGAAATCCATGCCTGCATTTCTGTTTCTTATAAAATGTATTTGCAATGAATCAATTTTTGATTGTGCAAAATTTAGAGGGCTCAAATACACAAAGACAGTGAGGATCTGGTGGCACAGTGAATAGAGTGTTGTACTGCTAACCAAAGGGCTAGAGCTCTAATCTAGTAACTGCTCTGTGGTAGAAGGATGTGCAATCTCCTCTTGTTAATATTTACAGACTGAGAAGCCCAGTGGAGGTTTGTTTTGAGTCAGAACTGACTTGACAGTATGTGACAGTGGGCTGGCAACATGTCACTCCACTGATTGCCTGCTTTCTCTGTTTCCTTCATTTTCTACTAGTGACTTCATGGTAAGTATTCACATGCCGATATCTATGTCCCCATTATCATAGGTTAACTATCAATAAGTTTTCTTATCACTGAAATCATCACTATGTTCACCACATGCTAGCTATTTGACCCCTCTTATTATATTTCCCTAACTTTACTGGATTAGCCTTACCAATCCACACTTGCATTCTTCTTTAAAACAAGCCAAATCCCCTCGATACCATACCCACCACTTCTTACTACTTTTTAACCACACCCTTTAAAAGTTTCTCATATTAATTTTAATATAATTAATATCACATAAGGGTAAAATCTTGTTAAGGGTTAATTAAGAACCACTTGCAAAAATATGAGAACAAGGAGTTTCTAGAAATTCAATCTGGATTCAGAAGAGGATGTGGAACACAGCTAATGTCAGATGGATCTTGACTAAACAGAATGCCGCTCAGACACTGATCTGTATTTTACTGACTGGAAAGGCATTTCACTTTAGGTATCATAACAGATTATGAAAAACATTGACAAAACAGAGAACAGGCACTCCAGAACATATAATTGTGCTCATGTGGAACCTGAACATAGTCCAAGAAGAACTGTTTGAACAGAACAAGAGGTACTACTGCATGTTTTAAAATCAGAAAAGGTGTGCATCAGGACTGCATCTTTTCACCAAATTTAATCAATCTGTACAATGAAAAAACAATCCCCAAAGATAGACTAATTGAAGAACATGCAATCAGGAATGAAGGAAGAATCACAACCTGTGATAGTAACACAACCTTGGTTGCTAAAAGTAAATGGTTGCTAAAAGTAAAGTGGACTCAAAGAACTTACTCAAGTCAATCTCAATATGAAAGAAAACAAGAGAATGTCTTATAGCAATATTGTGATAAATGGAGAAAAATCTGAGGTTGTCAAAGATTCAGGTTACTTAAATCTATGTCCAGGAAAACAACAGTCTAGGAAGCAAATGATGGACTACATTGGACAGTTGTGCTGCAAGGATCTTTTTAAGGTGTTAAAGGCAATGATGTCTATTTGAGGACTAAGGTTACCCAAGCCAAGATATTTTCCACTGCCACACACGCATGTGAAGGTTAAGAAACGAATAAGGAAGGTAGAAGAACCATATAGTGCTGTCACTGAATATATTCAGGTTGCCTGAAAAGCAAATTTATATTGAAAGAAAAGCAACCAGAAGAGTCCTTAGAATCAAGGCTACCTCACATACTGTACTTTTCATGTTATCAGAAGGGAACAGGCCCTGGAAAATGATACTATGTTTGGTAGAGGGCAGCAAAAGAGGAAACCCTTAATGAAATGGACTGAGACAGAGTATATCCTGGAACAATGGGCTCAAATTTGCAACTATGTTAAGATGGTGCAGAACATGCCAGTGTTTCATTCTGCTGTATAAAGGGGTGTTATGAGTCAGAACCAATTTGATGGTATTGAACAATACTGTCTCTAGTTATCTTTCCCCTACTCTCTGGAACTCATTCTTCTTAACATTTTTTGTCGCTGTTCCTTTCTTAGCTCACTAGTCCTTAGTAGATAATAAAATTTCAAAATAAGTTGGCATGTAACCTTGTAGTCAAGTTACTTGCAATATAACTAGAAAATAAAATCAACATTATTTCCTCTGAATATAGTTCCCCCCCCTTTTTTAAAAGTAAACAGTTTTATTACTTCATAAGCTCACCTGGCTGAACATGTGTAGCTTGTAGAAAATATTTTAAAGCTCTTTCAAAGTTCTTTTCATTTTCTAAGGCATGGCCCACATTATTCCACAGTTTTGCATTATTTTTATTCACCTTAAATAAAGGGGAGATAAAATATTACAATTGAAAAAACAGATTATTCCAGTTCACATACATACTTCCAGTGATAACTTGGGGATGAGCATGAAGCCAACCAGGGAATGCTCCACCAAACTGATGATTCTCCCTTACCCAATTACCTTCAAATACATAAAACTATGGAAGCTCTTACCATGTGAACATATAGGTTTCATATATTAGAAATTCCCTAAAGTTTTAATTTGCCCAAAGGACAATCTTGGCACCAGTAGCCAGGAAATAAAAAAACGTATTGCGATGGGAAAGTCTGTGGTTAGGGCCCTCTCCAAAATACTCAAGAGCAACAGTGTCTCTCTGGAGACTAAGATCCGCCTGATACAGGCCATGGTTTTTGCAATCACTTGTTATGCATCAGAGAGTTGGACAATGACTAGGGAGGATAGAAGGAGAATTGACGCCTTTGAGCTGTGGTGCTGGAGAAGAGTATTGAAGGTACTATGGACTGCCAAGAAAACAAACAGATTCGTCGTAGAGAGGATTAAACCAGGCTGCTCCTTGGAGGCAAGGATTCTGGGGCTTTGTCTGACATACTTTGGACATGTTGTAAGGAGAGACAGGTCTTTGGAGAGGGACATCATGCTGGGTAGAGTGGAGGGACAGCACAGGAGGGGAAGACCCTCTATGAGGTGGATTGATTCAGTGACTGGGGTACTCGGGATGGGTTTGTCAGAGGCAATGAGATTGGCACAGGATAGAGTATGGTTTAGGGCTGTTGTACATAGGGTCGCTATGAGTCGCAAATGACTCAACGGCACATAACAACAACAACAATAACAAAGGACAATGTTATTTGATAACTCCCACTCTACTATTCATGTTATGTGTTTCCATATTGCAGTAGCAACTTATGTTTAAGCTTGACACATTTAAAGCTATTTATATTGTTTATTAGGGCACAGTGAACCCTGGAAACAAAGTTCTGAGACAATCTGTGTTTTGAGAGTTCATGGTGGACATAATGCTCCTGCAGGTGGAAAAAAGCACTAAGTTGCAGTCCTGCAGTTGGGGTTGTTTCAACCACTGGCCTGGGAATGAGGATACTATAGGGCTATGTTGGTATTCCAGGAGCTTTGATTAATAAGTACAGCAATGAAGTCTCATTTGTTTACAGATAACAGGGCTAGTGGTGAAGATAGAAATACAGAATGGTACAAAAGAAAAGTCATTCTTTCAAGTAGCTATCATATTAAAAAATCATGGTTAAGGCAGCAATCCAATAAAGCTATACAATTAACAGAAGTAGATAAAAGGGAGGGAAAACTTTAAAAAAAACTTTCTCACATACATCTAAAAAAAAGGATTTTTTTTTAAAAAACAAAAAACCAAACCAAAAACCTGCCCTACTATTCATGCTATCTACTCAATACAAATGCTAAACTACTCCTTTCTGCTAGTCTCTAATTATATCACTGCAATCACTGGTTATCATTCACACAGCAAGTTGTCAACTGTTTCTAATACTTTTATTGAAAATAAGATGTCATCAGTTCTAAGAGTCAGTATTATTTTTTGTAGCATTAAGAAACATGGCCATTGCAAAATAATTGCAAAATGACTTTCAGTTTAAGATGTGTTCTGGTATCAGAGATGTTAAAAGGTAAAAATCATATGATTCGCAGGAACCAATAAAAGATATTATTCTTAAGAATTAATGAGATATTCCTACTGAAAACATTTTACCATTTGGACTTTTAGCAACTGTAGAACATTTAGAGAATTATTAATTTATTTTAGTTACACCGCTAAGGTCATGACATACTTTTGGGACAAGTTACATTTATTCATATTTTGATGAAGTTCTTAACATTAACAGCTAAATGTCTCACTAAAAGTATAGTTAAAACAACTTAGTCATGCTATATTAAATCATAGATAATACACTTTCCTGTCATTCTGAAAAACACTTTACCTTCAAAGCTGACATAAACAATGTATATTCAGATTCCCAATCCCAATTTCTATGCAGTGTCTTAAAAGCATGAGTCAATATCACCACAGACAGGCAAACCCAGGATAGTTTTTTTAAAACACTGTTGAAGAGAAAAAGCAAAATAAGAGCTCATTGTTTAAACCAAACTCATTTTACCTTAGAGAACAGAGGTAAAACCAAGTAACATGTATTAATTTATTCTGGGGAATTAGCAAAGTGCTAATGATCACATATTCAATTTTACAGGGAAAAGCACATACACAGAAATTAAATATTAAGAAATATCACCTTTAAGTTCAGCCTTTTAAAATCTAAACATAGATAATTATATATTCTACTATTTGCCTCAATTTTCAAAGTTCTGTTTAGATTTAATAACACAAATCAACAACCAGTTTTTGTATTGTGAGTTTTTAATACAATCCTTTGTCATTCATTATTTACAACTTGAGTATTCTAACTTCCGTTTATAATACCTACTATGGTAATTAAAAATGCTGATATTAAAATAATTAAGCTAACTTTATATTATGCTTCACAACAATACAAGGTATATCAAACATAAATCTAATAACTGTTGTTCCATTGGGTCAAACTGTAATTTATATTCTCACATTCATTTTAAAGATTTGTTTTGAGTATATAATTAAACAGACCTGAAGAATACAAAAAACAAGGGAAAAACCTTTGGAAGTTTATTGCTAAATGGTTTTACCTATTGCTGCTTATATAGTACATTAACAATACTTTATTTCATAAGTATTAAATACTTAAGCCAATTAAATAACATGTAAAAATGTTGAAAGTACTGCATTTGATTTTAGATTTCGAGCTAATATAAAAATGGCAAAACCTAGACAGAACGATCAAATGTACATTCAATGCCTCTGTGAATGAAAAATTCCAACATAAAAAAGATAAAAATCCCCACCAATGGATTAAAAGGCAACATCACGACAGATGGAGAGAAGACTGAAGTTGCCAGTGATCTTGCTTGGATTGACAAACACCAACCTTGACACCAGTGGTCAGGAAATCAAAAGATGTATCGTATGGGAAAACCTGCTGTCAGAGACTTCTCCAAAGGGCCAAAGAGCAATGATGTCAATTTAAAGACCGAGGTGCCCTTGATTCAAGATACCATCTTTTAAATTACTTGTTATACATGTGAACGTTGGACAAAGAATAAGGATAACAGAAGAACTGATGTCTTTGAATTATGTATGGTATTGGTAGAGTACTGAGTTATTCCACGCACTACTAACAAAACAAGTATGTTTTGGACAAAGTACAACCACGGTGCTCCTTAGATGCAAGGATAAAGAAACTTCATCTCACGTACTTCGGGCATGTTGTTAGGAGGGGCCAGTTGTTGGAAAAGATATGGTGTTGCTGTGTGGGAGAAAGATGGGCAACTTTCTCCCATATAATTTAATGCATGCCAGGGTCAGCTAAGAGTAGGTTCCTACTCAGTGGCACATAACAAGAACATTACAGTATCTGAGAGAGGAAATTGACCACCTTTCTTCCAGAGTCGTCAGTGGATTTCAACTGCCAGAGGACTGTCATCTTTAGGTTAGTGGCTCCTAGGGACTTTGTGCTCTAAATTTCAAATTTCTACAATAAGGGTGTGGGGCGGACAAATCACAATCAAACATGGTTCCCTTAGTCATTTCTGAAATGGCAGGCACTCAGAAAGGGAGCTATTATTATTGGATCTATGAGTAGGCACTAGGAAAAAGCACTTGATAGATAGTAGTGGACAATATAGATGTGTACAAAATCAACTGGGGGGTGTGTGTGTCCATTTTAAGAAAAGTGACTATGAAAAAGTTTTGAAAAATGTCAATATGTAAAAAGCAGATAGACGTGAAAGAGAAGAAATCTTGCAGCTGTCAGGTAAATAATTTTAAATAAAAGCCATCACTGGATTTAGCTTCTGGGAGACAATTTATTGTAAGTGGAAGGATTATACAAAGAAGTAAATATTCAGAAGGTTGATTAAAACTACCCAGTGCATAAAATAGAGGCATTTTTCTTTAAAATTACAAACTGCTTTCATACTATGCCTTAACTATTAACAGTTGTCTGAATTTAACAATTTTGGTGTTTGAATATCAATGAAAGAGACCTGTGGTTTAGTGGTAAAGATTCATGCTGTCAATCTAAAGGCAACTGGTTCGGATCCACCAGTTGCTCCACAGGACAAAGATGGGCAATCTCCTCACATGTGATTTACTGCCTCTAAAAACCTACTGAAGGGTCAGCTGTGAGTTAGTTCCAACTGGATGGCACACAACAATAACAGTATAATTTGTAAGCCTCTAAACAGTGTGACTATTGCCCTTACCTGTTATTTTAAGGCACTTAGGACAAGAGGATTATGAAGATAATGACAATGCTAGCAAAAATTATGGTATACACACCTTCTATGTAGTACTGACTCTACCATGTCAAAGTTTGAAAAAATAATTTTACATAGTGTGCTGTTGTTGCTGTTATTTGCTGTTGAGTGAAACCATCATAGCTGACCCTCTAACAAGTTTCCTGAAATTTTAAAGTGCATGAAGGGAGACTGTTTATCTTTGCCCCCAAAGCTGTTGGTGGATTCAAACTGTGTATCTTTTGGTTGGCAATGCAACTTCCTACCCACTAAGTACCCAGAGCTCCGTAATTCTGCATATTACATACGCCAGTTATGGCTCACTTGATTATGTGCAGTGCATCTAAAATATGAAGGCGGTAGAGCTCAAATGCGACCTTATGATAAAAAATGTTCCCATTTTTCATCTGAGTCTAAGGCTAAGCTTTTTATGTCTCGGGCTGTAAAATGACAAATTTAGATCAGAACTAATATAAGGTAGGTGACAAACCGCTTCCCTACTTGAACTGCAGGCAAATAGGGATACTATAGAGATGAAAAACAATATAATGGCTAGAAAATACATTATTAGAACTAAATTAAAATAATAGAATGCATCACATTTAATCTTATTGTTGTTGTTGTTAGGTGCCATTGTAAGAATTAAATAAGCTGCAAGGAGGTTCACTGCAATCTCAGAGATGAATGGTTCAAATCCACCAGCTGCTCTGCTGGAGAAGGAGGAACAATCTCCTCCTGTACCAGTCAGATCTGATTTGACGGAACACACAAAAAAATAATAAATAAAATTAAAAAAAAAAGAAAATTAAATAAGGTAATATTTTAACTCACCTTTTGTTTGATATTTTCTGCCATCCATGAGCTACCAAAATACAGAACCCCATGCTAGGAACATATAGTACTCGCTCAGCAACAACAAATCCAACTGGGAAAAAAAGGTTTGATGCAGGAATAAACGGTAGTGCCATTAAACAAAGTGCCTAGAAGGAAAAATAAGACAATACACCATGAACAAAAATAGACACAACATTCAAATGAAAATATTCACTTAACAATTCTTGGTATTTAATATGCACAATGTGTGGTAGACTACTTTAAAGTTTATTATAAAGAATACTAGTTCAAACATAGGACAATGTGGTAATAAAATAAACCAGGATATAAATAAGTAAATGACAGATTTCTTGAAAGGGAAACGCTTTCTAGGGAATAGATATAGCTTTTTTCTTCAAAATAAATAGTCTCCTCCCATTAAAATTTGCAGCCTTGGAAATCAGACAGAGGGCTGGAATGAGTGAGAACTAACTGGATGGCTATAGTTTATTTGAAGGTGTGCTAACAAATGATTATCATAAATTTATGTAGAGCATTTTAAATTTGAAAAAATTATGAATGTTTATGTAAGGGAGCTCTGGTGGTCTAGTGCTAAGAAGCTGTGCTGTAATCCGAAGGCACAGGGTTTAAATCTACCAGATGCTTGGCAGAAAAAAGGACAATCTTCTCCCAAGTGATTATCGCCTCTGAAAACCCACTGGAGGGTCAGCTATAGATTGGTTCTGACTCGATGGTACACATTAACAATGTGTTTTTAAAATATTTTTAAAAATATTTATTATTATTATTCATTTTAATGAAAATTTACAGACTATGGATTTCCATTCATTCACTGTTGAATTTTTCTCCCTGACCACCCTTCTCCCTCAGTTCGCTCATCTCTTTGAAAAGTAAATTTTTTTTCATTGTTATACAATTCCTCCCCTCCAGTCCACTCCACTATGCAGCCTTCCTTCTGGACTCCTGTCATGACAATAATACCTAATCATACAAAAAATATTTTTACTTCTTTATTCAATTTGAAAAATCTTTTTGTAAGTTCTACATAAAAGTATTGATATTTACCATTATTTGGTAGATATGTGATGAAGGAATACTGAATCAGAGGAAAAACACCATGTCATAATAATTTATGTTTGAAATTTATTTTTTAATGAAAGTATAAATGTTAAGAAGAGATAAAATTAACTTTTAATTTTCTAGAAATACTAAATAAAAATAAACAGCTAATGATGAAAGCAATAGAGGTTACTAAGTTCCTTTTCATTCCAGGTTACCCTAAATCAATTTATGACAGTAAAGTCTTAAGTTCTTCAAAGATGAATTATGGACTGATACATAAGCTGCTGTTAGTGTTAGGTTTCATATAGTCAATTACAAATTACAGTGACCTTACAAACAACAGATCAGGATCTCACCCTATCCTGCATCATCGTGATCTCTGCATGCTTGAGCCCACCGTTACAGGCACTCACTGTCAGTCCATTTTGTTGAGGCTGTGTTCTCCTTCACTTACTCTCTATCTTTCCCAGCATGATGGTTTCCATGGACTGGCTCCTCCTGACAACATGCCCAAAGTATGTGAAATGCAGTTTTACGCTCCTTGCCTCTAAACACCATCCTGGTTGCACTTCCTCCTAGACAGACATGTTTGCTTTTTTGGCAGCCCATGATTTATCCAATACTTTTCTCCAACACTACATTTCAAGGGTATCAATTTTTCTTTCACCCATATTCACTGTTCAACTTTCAGAAGCACATGAAGATGAAAACACCATGACTTCGACCAGGAACACTGTAGTCTTTAAAACATTTTCTTTGCTCTTTAGCACTCTGAAGACATCTTTAACAGAAAATTTCTACAACAGAACAAGTCTTTTGATTCTTGATTGCTGCTTTCACAGGTGCTGATTATGGATCAAGGTAAGATGAAATTATTAACAACTTCAATACATACTATGGACTGCCACAAAACCCCAAACAGATCTGTTCTAAAGAGGATAAAACAAAGTCGTTCCTTGAAAGGATTTTGAAGCTCTCTCTCACATACTTTGGGCATGATGCCAGGAGGGACCAGTCCTTGGAAAAGGACATCATGCTTGGGAGTGTGCAAGGAGAACACAAGAAAGGAAGACCCTTGATGAGATGGATTGAGAGTGACTGGGGTAACAGTGGCAGGGGTGTTAGACATAGTAAGATGGACTCAGGATAGGACAGGGTTCAGAGCATTGTGCAGAGGTTGGCTTTGAGAGGCAGGTAACTCAATGGCACATAATAAAAGCCAAAATTTTTTCTGTATTCTTGATACTGAATTATATCCATATTAAAGTCTGTAGTCATTCATCTTCTTCAGTAAATGCTTCAAATCTTCACTTTCTTTAAGGTTTTGTCTTTTGCATATACTGGTTCCTAAGTGTTCCTCCAATTCTGATGCCACAGTTTTCTTCAAATAGTCTCATTTCTGGAATTACGTGGTTGGCCTGAATATATAGCCTGAATAAGTATGAAGAAAGGATAAAACCATGACACACACCTTTCCTGATTTTAAACCATGCAGTGTTTCCTTGTTCTGTTTGGACAACTATGTCTTGGTCTATTTATAGGTTTCTAATAAGTAGAATTAAGTGTTCTGAGATTTGTATTCTCATCAAATGTTAGCGATAATTTCTTATGATCTTGTAGAAAGATCAAGGGCAATGTAGGATGGCCCAATTTTACCTCAACTATCTCCATAACACAATCAAGAGCATCTACAACACAAATCCAAGAGGTCAAACATGTCCCTCATGCTGCAACACCTCCTTCTACTAATTCTAGTACCAATCCTACTGCTCTACTGTTTCTGAAATCCATTTCAATAGATATACAGACCTCAGAGAACCATACTTAGGATTATGGGGTTTATTAGGGAAGTTATAGGTTACAATTTCTCATACAGGACAGCTTCTGAAGAGAGACTGTAGGCCTTTCAGCCATCAGCATTATGGCTTTAGGTCAGTGTTACAAAGTTCTTTGTTGCTGTGTGCAGTCGAAGGAGGAGTGACCCATAGTTGAGCCTCCAATCGGTTTTCAGGGGCAATAAACCACACAGGAGGAGACTGCCCATCCTCCTCCTATGGAACAGCTGGTAGATTCAAACTTTTTGCCTTTGGGATTGCAGCAAAGCTTCTTACCACTAGGCCACCAGAGCTCCCTCACTATAAAGCTCTTAGTCATACCAATTTGGCCTCTCCTCTCCTCTCCTCTCGTCCTTATCCCTAAGTTCCTCCAGCAAGCTTAGGTGAAGGTTCCTGGCTCTGGCTCTATGAGAAAACAGTCTTGGGTCAGCTTTGTCTCATGCTACGTCTCTGGCTCTAGTTCTGCTTCTTTGCTGCAACTGCTACTCTTCTGTAAGTTCTCGTACAATATTTCTGGCCCCAAAGGGCCTGTGCTGCATTCTCTCTATATTCTTCCTTCCTGGTTGTAAAATGCCCCAAATTTCCATTGCTCAACCTGCTCAATTTAAACTCTGTGGAATAGCAACATTAGGCAAACCTCTGTAGATAGAATTACACACCCTATTCACATGTTCCTGCCCAACTATGTGGTAAAATTAATGGCAACAGCTTAAGGTAGTAATTTTGAACAATATACCTACTACACCACAGATGAGGCAGTCAAATACCACTGAATAGTCAGTAAAATAAGAGTAAACATCTTTCTGCTCTTCTCTAAATTCAGTCAAGATCCCTCCAACATCAGCAAATATAAAAGGCATCTATCTTAAATTTCTGGAAATTTTCTGATGATGCATTTTTCCAACAGTTTTTGAATAATCTTTACCAAGATTTTACTACTTGCATGTGATAATTCCCACATTCTGTTGGATCATCTCAGTATGGCACAGGGAAAATGTCAGTTGGCTAGTCCCTATCTTCCAAATTTCTTGGCATGGGCTGTGAACATGTCTACGGCTGTATCTGTTTATTAAAACAATTGGCATGTCATCAATTCCTAGGACCTATTTTGTTGCTAATGCCTTCAAAGCAGGTTGAATGTCTTCCTTCATTGTCAGTTGTACTTGACCACATGGTACTTTCTGAAAAGATTTAGTGTTGGCTAATTCTTTTTGGTATAGTGATTCTATGTATTCCTTCTTGCTTCTTTTGTTGCTTCTGCATCAGCCAATATTTTGCCTATAGAAACCTTAGTATTGCAAATTGAAGCTTGAAATGTTCTTCAGTTCTTCCAGCTTGAAAAATGCTGAGTGTGTTTTTGCGTTTTGATATTGTAATGCCAGCTCTTTGCACATTTTGTTAATATATATACACTTCATCTTCTCAAGCTGCCCTATGAAATTTTGTTTAGTTGTTAGTTTGGCATTTCTTCCCTTTGTTTTAATTTCTCTATGTTCTAATGAAAGTTTCATTTCTTTCCTGTCTCTTTGTAAAGACTTTTCATTTTCTTTCTGGATGATGTTATCCCATACTTATCTGGTCTTTAGTTAGTAGTGTTTAATATATAAAAAAAATAATCTTGAGTTGGTTTTTAAGTTTGGTTGGGATATACTCAAGCTTTTGTTTTTGTTTTCATGTATTTGCAATCTGATTGCCATGTAGTCCATCAGGTAAGGTCAAACCAACATTTGTTTTTTAAAAGTGGTATCTGCAATGACTAAAACATGGCAGAAAATTCTATCATGCAATCTTCAGCCTCTTTTTTGTCACCAAGACCATAGTTTGCAATCACCAGGGTTTTTCCCTGTCCAATATATAAACAGCACAAACAGAAATAATCGTCCAGAAAAAGAAAATCATCAATGAGAAATCCCTTTAGTGATTTAGTGACTCAGAAGTTCTCATCTTGTATGCTCTTTATTAATGAAGGCCAACTTAGTTAACTATGACTAACTTAAATTTACTACTTAAACTTTCTTCAAAAATAACAGTATTTATAACAGCAAATAATATGGAGGAAAATTTTATCTTTGTTTTACTTCTTACTTCCTACACAACAAAAAGTTAATTATCCCAAGACTCAATTCATCAAATAGGAGAGTAAGAACTACTTATCAGTATGGTGTTGTGATTTTTTAAGTGTTTAACATAATACCTGGCATTGTGTATTCTGTTGTTCTACCTGTCCCTTTCAGAGAACTTCTAAAATACCACAGTAAAAAACAAAAATCTTTAAAATTAAGACTATACTAAAAGCAGAGTTATGCTTAAGATCACAATTGTTTTTTATTTCTTATCCAGATTACATTATACAAACCACTATTTAATTTGTCATAAATTTAAATTCCTCTACCTGACTTTTTTAGCCTTTCTTTTTTCAGAAGCCCAGCTTGGGATGTACTCTATCATTTATCTGCACTCTCTATATCTAGCAATGAAAGGTACAAGGAAACAGACTTCAGAAAAAGAACAAAAAGACTTTATAATTAGCAGTTCCCTGACTAGAGTAATGGCTATCTTAGAGACTAATGAAAACCTTTCTAATGAGAATTTAAGAATCACATATTTCTAGCTGTGTGTAACTGACATGACAGTTCTCAATGCCAGAAAACAATTTATATAATATGGCTTGTTTCTTCAAAAACTGTTATTTATTGGATGAAGATAACAAATCTAAGAAAAGGACCAAAAAAGGGATGTTTCATAATTTTTGAATTCCTACCAAATTAGGGCAACTCATAATCAGTATTTACATTCTGATTATTCATGTCAAATAATGCCTCCAAAAAAAGAAAGCATTTTTACATAATTTTATGATAACCTAAAATCTAAACAGAGATGATAATAATCAAAGAAACAAAATGCTTCTAAAAAGATGCTTTCTAGCACCTGGATGTAAGGATAAAAGTCAAAATGGAAGTTGAATCTCAACTGTCTGAATATTTTCTGAAACCAACTCAGAAAACCCTATGTCAGGATGTTTTCCGGAACCAGAACTCAGAAAAGCCTATGTCAGGATGTTCCCTAGCACCAGGACTCAGAAACCGCTATCAGGAGCTTTTCCAAGAATCTTAGGAGTTTTCCCAAAAACCAGAAACTTTATGCACTAATGAGCTACTGCAATGTCAACTATCTCATAAACCCCTAAAACACACTTGCTAAAAACCCCATAAAAGCCCCCCTAAGCCCAACCTCCAGTGCTACTCCCCTTGCTAAGTAGCCCCGCGTGCAATTTATCTCTGAGAAATGTTTCTGCCTCAGTGTGGTTCTTGGCTTCAATCTGAAACCTTTCTCTGGAGAGCTTGTACAAATGTGTATTTTGATTCAGAATATGTACGTTGTTGTTAAAGGCTGTTAAGTATGGCTCACAGCAACCCTATGAACACATCTGAATGCTGTCCTGCCCAGTGCCATCCTCACAATCTCTGACATATTCTAAGCCACTGTTGTAGCAGTAACTGTCAATCCATCTGGTTAAGGGTCTTCCTCTCTTTTGCTGACCCTCCACCTTTAGGACTTTTCCTACTCATTCCTATAATTCTCATTTCTATTAATTCTTCAACCCTATCCCTTCCTGGGTACCTGGGGTTTGTCCTTGAGTAAATGCTGCTCTTCTGACCTTATGTAGCTGGCTAGTGTAAGAAGCGAGTATTGTTCTGGTGTTATTATTCACCTTAATATTTGACTGACTGTTATGAGACTCAGTTTTGTTTCCAAGTTTGAAGGCTGATTAACGGCCATAGTCTTAGGGTAAGAACTTGTCTTTTAAAATGAATACATTTCCTTTGTACATTAATGAGTCTTTAACGAAGATGCTTTCTATGAATTAAATGCAATCTTTTCAACTTATGGTACAATTACCTTAAAAGTTAAAGTTTCTTACCATTAAAACAGTCTTAGAGGAATTACCAGGATATCGTAGACCAAATATGCCTAAAGCTCCCAATATACAAAAGAAAGTAAATGTGGCCAAATTCCGAGCATCTAGAAATGACTCTATAAGTGGGATGGTCCCCATTGTCCAATCACAGCACAGCTCTGAAGGATTTAACAGAAGCCAAGCGTTTACAGGAAGGAGGTAGTTAAAAGTTAACTGCCTTGTAGGAGTTGGGCTGACAGCAGCTGGATTATCAAACCTGTATAAAAGAAGAAAAAAAAGTTCTTTAAAAGAAAAATTTTTTTAAAAACCCATCTTTTGAGTCACAAAAAAAATAGAACACATAACGTTAGTAAATAAAATACTAAACAATAGCAAAAACCGTATTTTACATACAATTTACTAGAAGAGATGATAAAACTATGACCTGATTAAAAGAACAAAAAAGTTTTACAAGGTTTGTTGTTGCATATATTGTATAGATGCATTTTGAGAACTTGAAGAGAGTAAAGAACATTATCCTAAGTGAAATATCTCAGTCATAAAAGAATAATTATTGCGTAAGTCCACTACTCAAAATTAGGAAGATAACTGAGCAAGTCCAAAGTATACTTTGGACATGTTTGTTGCAAGACAAGACCAGTCCTTGGAGAAGGACGTCATGCTTGGGAGGGTGGAGGGACAGCGCAGGAGAGGAAGACCATCGAGTGAGATGGATTGATTTAGTGACTGGGGTAATCGGGATGGGTGTGTCGGAGATGGTGAGACTGGCACAGGATAGGGCCAGTCTCACCATCTTCTATGCTAAGTAAATAATCAATCTTAAAAGGTTAAGATTCCTAGAAAGAATTACTACACTTTTCTTCTCTCAGACACAATAAATAATGTTACACAGAAATTTTGAATACTATTGTTAGGTTCATCAAGTCAATTACATCTTTAAATGACTCTATGACAACAGCTCTGAACCTTCCCCTGTCCTGTGCCACCTTCAAGATCTGGTATATTCAAGCCCACTGTTAAGAGTATTGTGTCAATCTATCTTGTTAAGGGTCTCAGCAACTAAAAGAAAATACATATGCTCACTCTCGCTGCTGTCAAGTAGGAATCAACTAATAGTTTACTCTACAGTCAGGTTTCGGGGGCTAAAGACAGCACAGGTGGATACTGTCCATCTTTCTCCAGCAGAGCTGCTGGTGAAATGGAACCATCAGAGGTGCCACCTTTGGATTAGTGCACAACTCTATATGGACTACACCACAAATGCTCACTAGTAATTAGGCACTGAGCCAGAAATGACTCATAGCTGACCCTCTAGTGGGTTTTAGAAGACTATTAACTGCATGTAGACTGCCATGGAGCACCTGGTGGATCTGATCTGCCTGCTTTTGAGTTGGCATCTGAATTCCTTACCCTTTAGGCCACCAGAGCTACTTAGTAACTATTTAAACAATTTCAATATTTTATTTATGTTTTACCTTTTCTCTTAACATAAATAAAGAGTATATTCTATATTACATTTTTTTCAGATCACAGTATATTAAACTCTAAACATTTCCTGAAACTAAGTTAAACCACTTTATAAACACTTTTTAACATCACAAAAACCTACACAATACTAGATCAACTAAGCCACGCATAAGAAATAAACAGAAAGCTATTTGAGCACAAAATAGAAATTATAAGATGTTAAAAAATATGCAATACATATAGAAGCATAAACAGCAACAGAAGATTTCTTGTTGAAAACAGTGAAAGCCAAATGACAGTAGAGCAAATGTTTTTTAAAGCAAAAGCAAAACTCCAACAATACATCATAGGATTAATAATGTATTCCAAATAAAATGTATATAACAAAAGCCCGAGAGAAGAAAAACTGAAGTATAAACTTTTATAGTACACATATATACACAGACACATATTTTTACTAACAACGACTACAAAAAAGAACAAACAGATCTGTTTTGGAGGAAGTCAACCACTGTACTCCTTAGAGGCAAGGACTATGCAATTTCATCTCACATATTTTTGAGCATGTAGTCAGGAGAGGTGTCAGCCTTTGGAAAAAGAGATTATGTCAGGAAAGGAGGAGGGTCAAAGAAAAGATGGGAAGACCCTCGACAAGATGGGCTGAAGAGATCATGGGAATGGCAAAGGACAGGACAAGGTTCAGATCTGTTGTTCACTGGGATGGTATGAGTCAGAGCCAACTTGATGGCACCTAACAAAAACAACTAAAATTATAATGTCCCTTCAAGGCAAGTAAAATATGTATATTAAAAATTGTAAAATAATCACGAAAACAGTGATTAGGACTAATATACCAAAAAGGTTGTAAAATGAAATTATAAAAAGTACCCATGGCAAACAAACACATGAAGAAATGTTCAAAATTCCTAGCTCTAAGAGAGATGCAAATCAAAACAACTATGAGATATTACCTCACCCCAGTAAAAATAGCAAAATTTAACAGATCAGCAAACATCAAATGCTGGCTAGGTTGTAGAGAAACTGGAGCCCTTATTCACTGTTTGTTGGAGTGTAAAATGGTGCGACCACTATGAAAAGCTTTATGGCGCTTTCTCAAAAAGTTACCAATAGAAATACCTTCTGACCCACGAATTCCACTACTGGGAATTTACCCTAAAGAAACCACAACTGCAGCGCAAGCAGATGTATGCACACCCATGTTTATTGTGGCTCTGTTTGCAAAAGCAAAGAG